TCAATAAGGTGCTGACCCCTGCAAGTGGTTAAGTGATTGTCGACCCGGGACATTGGAAACTTGGCTGTGATTTCGTGCAGGCCCTTGAACTTGACACTGAAGCTACCTCCCGTCAGTTTCTCCCTCTAGCACCGGATTCCGTAACTCTACTTGGCAAATGAACATTGTCCTGTTTTTAGCAGTTCATTGGTCTGACTCTGGATTTCCTCCCCTGGACTCGGGAGTCCCTTTATAGTGCGCCGGCACTACAATGGTGCACAAAGTGGTCCTCAAGTGGCCTGTCGAGCAGAAACAGTAGAAATGAAGCCTCGCAAGAAGTGAACCAACTAGTATTCTACAGAAAATAAGGCCATGAGGCTAGGGGTGCATGACAGAAACCAAGGGTGCGGGGCTGGCCCTGATGCTGGCATTGCCGACCAGGCACCGACCCGCCACGCGTTCAGCGCCAGGGATTCTTCGGTTTTCCCCTTGAAGATGATAAGACGAGCGTATTTTTTGAAAGGCTGTTGCTTGTTATTTTAGCTTAATCTAGGGAATATTCGCTGGGTGTAGCGATAGATATAGGGTGTGCAGCTAAGTAGGTGTGTATGGTGTAACACGTAGTAACAGGCGTGAGAGAGCTGCGCACTACACCCCGGTCCGTCGGAAAAAAGCTTGTGACCCTACAGGAGCGCGTTCGATGCAGCGAAGTGAGTTTTGACATACTGGCTGGGGGATCCTTGATATTAAGTACGTCTGGCAACTCTTCAATGCCAACTTTTGCTGTTCTTGTAGCGTTAACTGGATGGGTCCCCCTCAAACCGTTGTTTCCACACAACCAGCACGAGGGAGTGCGCGCATATCTTGCTCGTTTTCTTCAGTGTCTCAGCAATGCATAGTAGCCTCCTCGCTCTTCTCGTAGAACACTGATTTCACTACTCTTAGCGAAGAGGATGCAGATCCTGTTCAAAGAGCTGGCGCGTGTAATTGTTCATTGGTTCCACGCGTAGGAACCTCAGTGGTGTCTTGTGAAGGCTCCATGCGTGCACTCCAATGAGTCACCCAAGGCACGCTGAGGATACATTGTGGTATGCTGGTTCTACACCGAAATCCTGTACTATGATAGATATGCCGTCACATTTTACACCCCGTAGTATTGCCATTCTCGTGCCTTGTCTGCATCCGCGAAGCTTAGTTGCAGAGACTGCTCCAACAAAGAGGCAGGTAGGTGGCACAACTTTGCCGTAGCTTCCACTATGAGACCCACTTCGCCGCTTGTGTCCAGCAGCTCTACCAACTCCTGATGATAGTACAAACTTGGGTAAGCAAAGAGGTGAATTGAGACGGATCTGAAAGTGCAGTTAACCCAACTAGCTTTACACCCCATCACTCCGCTTCATGCTGCGTGGGGGCCAGGCCGTTTCCCTGGCTGCCTTGTTTGTTCCCCAGGCAGAGGTGCTAGAAATCTTGTTGATGCAACTCCTTATTTCTTCTTATGACTCTGCAATCTCAAATTGTGCAACTTTGAGCAGCGGAAAGGGAAGGAAGGAGTGGCAGGATGAAATATGCCGAGATGGTGGCGTACTCTCTCATCAATGAGAGGAAAAATGCTACCTGCACCGCCCTAGCTTGGAAGGAAGAAATCGGGTTTGACCCAGGCATAGAGCCTAAGGAGATTAAGGTTGTGCACGCCAGCACCTCCTAGAGAAAGGTAGGAAGTCAGAAGCAAAAGCAGCCTGAGACTTCAACATTTCCAGGGGAAGTATCAAGCGCTGCACCTGCATCTTGTTGACTCTTCCCTGGAGACCGCCCAGCTATGAACCGTTAATGCGGATCCCTCGAATCCGCCGCTGAATTTCTGTGCACAGCGAACTGATACTTCTCTATGCAGCACTCCTATCGACAGGTTCCCTTGTAAAATTTTTCCATGTATGGCATGGCCTGCTCTCTTACTGAACTGTGAATAAACCAACGCGCCAATAAATGCGGGAAAGCCTCCATAATCCGGATGTGTCCCGGAAAGGCGGTGCACTTTCCTATATGTAGCCATTATTGTGCATTCCCTTGTAATAGATACGATTCCACTAGCAGAAGCAGCTCTTCGGTGCATTTGGCAGACTAACTTGCAATACCATGGGGGCAAGGAACTATTCTACTGCCACCGCATCGCAGCACCTACCACATCTGGACTGTCTGAAATGGCTGAGGAACCATGTTGAACCATTTTTTCCTTAATGAGATTTTCGGCTAGATGGGGCACAGACCATGTGCTTGTTCCAGTGCGATGATGAGGCACAATTTGGTAGCTTCCACACCAGCGGAAAGATCCTTATCAACCCCCATTATAGGGGAGAACAATAGGGGCTGAATTCTCGGCAAAACTACTGTCAGATTGTTTTGCAAAACGTCGTCGCGAAAGGCAAGCAGGGCTGAAGTCTCAAGAAAAGAGTTCTCAAGAAACAACTAACCTTTCCCTGAGTTCTCATGCGTCCTGGACGTCATCGCCGAAGGGCCTGGGGCTGCGGGAAGGCGGTGGCGGCGTGTCATGAGGTACAGCGCACGCTCTTGCACCTGCTGCTGTAAGACAATCCAGCCCCTCTCGCTACACACACCAACACTGTAGACTTCAATTGGGCACTTGCTTGGTCTTGAGTAGACAGTGTAGACGCAAGTAGAAATGTATCGAACTTCAGAGAGACCTTACTACAGTGCTACACTGACCATGCTACACCATGTAAGAGAGACACAGTCTTGGCCTCCAGCAAGCGCAGGAACCCACTAATCCGATAACCGAGAGTGCGTTCATGGTAAATTTGAAAAATTCAACTGCTCTAAACATTCATCCTACATATACCAACTAAGGAGAGTAGCGGCTCTTTCCGGACGACTGCCGCAACCTTTCAACAAATCCATCCGTGCCCCTGCCCCTAAAACATTTGTGGCCCGAAGCAAAAAAGGAGCAACAGAAATCCATTTAACTTTTTAGATACCCTGGTTAACAGTCAAGGGATAATGGTCTGGTGCTGTAATGCTTCCGTACCAGCAGACGGGAGTCCGGGCGCTAGAGGGCGCAGCTACAAAAGAATAGATGAGTGTGATACAGCGCCACACATTGCAGTAGAGAAGAGCTAGACTTACTCACCATACCTGTAATAATTACCATCTTACATATTTGTCCTTGAGGAGCGGACATGGGGTGCACAGACAGGTGTGCAACCACCCGCGAAAGGGCGTCCGGAGCACCTGCCGCAGCAGGAGCTGTGCACACGGGGCGTTCCAGTGTCTCGTCATTTTCATCAAAACACTCAACCACAAATATGACGTTTTTCTGCATCTCTGCCGAGTTTTGCCGGCAGGGGGTGTCGCTCAATTCCCTCGTGGACTACGCTTAGGGTGATAGCGAGGCCGACGGCGACTGCTGGAGAGTGACTGGCAGCTGAGAAGGACAGGCAACACATCGTTCCGTATTTGATATGCGACTTGTCCTTCTTTTTGGGCTCTTTTAAGCTCTATCTGCGAAGCAGGGCATCCCGGAGCTCCCCTATGTAGGGGTGGAAACGACATCCACAGCCTTTGCCAGGTGTGGGGGGGCGACTCGCAACAGTCTTTCAACTGAGCGCATACCGCACGTTCCCTCTCTGAAATTTTCACACCTAGTTTTCACATTTTATTCCAACCTCCGGCATGAGTTGGTTCGTCGCCGGATGCTCATTGACGCTCTGCGAGCGTGGCAAACGATGTGGTGTGTGCGCGCATATACGGTTTGGGAACTACATCCGGTGCTTTGGCTGCTGCTCATTCATGATGGTAGCGCACTTTAATTATCCCTGGGACTATATAATCCTGATATGAATCTTGTTACCTGGACGGCGCCGCATGTATCGCGTCGTGCGCACCGTCGGACCGGAAATGATGTTGCTGTGCTGCATTGAACAGCTTATCACGGAGCATAAATGAGGGTGTTTGTGTACTTCCTTTGCGCTGCTCTTGCAGTGTGATCATTTCTGACCACATTTCTTCCCGTGGACAGGTTCGCCGCCCTGCCGTTCTTGCCCATTTGGGACCTGCGGCGGCCAAGGCGCTGCCCCAGCAGTACCGCGCACTACGGACTACCAAAGCTGGAAGATGATGGAGACGTTGTGGCAGCAGGTGCTGCCAGTTTTCACGGAGGAGTTTTGGGCAGAGCCATTGAGGGCCCCAATGATTAGCAGGAGCTGCCGACACTTGGTGTGGGGTGTGTGTCTTGCCTACATACCTATAGTTATGCTTCTCCAAAGAATGCATGACAATAGGATGGGGAAACAGAAACAGGCCTCACACCCACGAGCATGCGTAGGTCCGATTCTGAAGGCAGTTACTTGCCTGTGGAATGTTCTCCTCTGCGCTTATTGTTTCACCGGCTTTTGCGCGTTGGTACGTATTCACTTCCCTTTGCAGTGAGAATATGCTTTTTTTTGTAGCCCAACTGCTTTGGGCTTATATGGTATACGACGTCTTGGGATTGTGTAGTGTTCTTGTGGGTTGTGCAGATGTGGTCGTCGCCGAGGCTGTTTAGTACTTTTGCGTTCCCTTCGTCCAAATATCCTCCACTAACGCGGCTGGTAGTCTGCATTTTTTGTCTGGGAAAGGGTGTGGAGGTCTTCGATACCTTTCTGCTGTTTCTGCGTGGACGGCGACCCTCTTTCCTCCATTGTTATGCACGCGTTGCAGTCGCGCTCTACTGCTGGCATGCACTTTATGCGGATGTGCCTTTTGCGCACGGCTTTGTCGCAGCAAATTTGGCTGTGCAGGTGTTTGTTCACGCCTATTTTGCAGCTGCGGAGTTTGCAGCAACGAAACGGTACGGTCGTTTGGTTCTCACAGGTTTTTGGTTGATAGGTGTATTGCCCGCTTTCGTGGCGCGCTAAGCAACATCTGTTTCTTTCAGGGGTATGCTTCTTAGTGTACCTTTCTGTATTCCGGTGTTTGTCAGGCTGTTCACATTTTTGCGATCATACATCACGCTTCTCCAGCTGTCACAGATGTTCTTCGGCATGTTCATCAGTTCTCATGCCATATACCACCCAGAAGTCCAGCAGAGTGCCCTTGCCGTCTTCAATGCCAAGTTGTAAGTCCTGCTTTTCCATCCTCGTATCTAAGGCTTCTGCTTTCGGGCTTGGGGACTCAGGATGTGTGTGAAATGACAATGTCTTTCATCCTTGTTTCCGGTGGGGGCCTCACTGGGTTGCGCTGCGCTTTCGCGGGTTGGTTTCTGCAGATGCTTGGCAATGTACATTTCTCATGCCATTCTTTTCCTCCAGTTTTACCTTGATGCCTTCTGCAAGGAGTATCGAAGCGGAGAGGCGACTTTCCTAACTTTCTTCCACGCCTTTGCCGTTATTGGCCTCGTGAAGCTTGTGGCGCACGAGCAATGCTGGCGGCTGTTTGCAGATGTGCGTAAATGGCTGGACGCTTGGCGTTTCGATGCATAATGCGTACATTTTGAACCGAGTGGCGCGCCCAGCAGCTGCTGCATCAACTGTTATTGACGGAGTGTGTCGTGCGGCTCATGGGGTTCTGTTTCGCAGACATTGTTGCTCTACGTAGTTGGGGGTTTGGGCATAACCTGTGGCGCACACCGATTGTGGTCACATCGCGCCTACAAGGCCAGCGCAGGCCTTCGTTGCTTTTTGATGCTGTTAACTTCTTTGGCCAACCAGGGATCTGTCTTTCACTGGGTGCGATGCGGACACGCCACTTGTAGATTGTAACTCTTCGACTCTTTGGTAGCTCATTTGCCGATACCTCTGATGCTCACCTCCAAATTGCCATGCAAGCGAGTTAATATGTTTCCTTGTATACGTTGCGCTTCCGCGCGGCTTGCAGGCCAGGGATCATCGCGTGCACCACAAGAATAGTGACAAGGAAGGCGACCCGTACAATGCATCTCGAGGCTTTTTCTACTCGCACGTGGGATGGTTACTGCTAAAGAAGCCCCAATCCGTAAAAGATGCTGGGAAACAACTGAACTTCGATGACTTACTTGCTGTGAGCAACAGTTCACCTGGCGTATAGATATTGCATGCATAGGATCCGTTTCAGATACGTGGTATGCCGGTGTCACTCCAGTTTTACTTCGAGTCAAATGAAGCAGAGCAATCTACGCCTGAATGTTCGGTCCTCCTCTTCAGGATCCCTTTGTTCGACTCCAACACAAGCTGGATCCGTGGTGGAACCAGTTTTGGTGCTTCGTAGCGCCCGCTATTTATGCGCACTACAAGTACAATGATTTTTGGACGGGCTTCTTCGTACTTGGTGGGCAAATATACACCCTAAGTCCTCCGGAGCTTTTTCGTAAAGCTTTCATCTGAGCTGGCAAACCGTCTCGTATTGTCCGATGGTAAGGGATCTGCTATGCTTCGCAGGCTGCCTGCGTTGGTGCATTTGCCTCCACGCCACGTGGACGGTGAACAGCACTGCACACATCTGGGGTGACAGGCGCTACACAGTGGAAGGCAACCCTTGCGAGAGCTGCTTCACGGCTCTCGTTGCCGTGGGAGAAGGTTGGCATGACTGGCACCACAAGTATCCGTATGATTATGCAGCATCGGAAGGCGGTGTCTTTGACCAGTACAATCCCAGCAAACTGGTGGGCCATGGCATCAAAGCTCTGCGAGTTGGGAGTCTGATTGTATTTGTCGGCGCCTGCTGATATAGGTTGTACTTCGATGCGTACTTTCTGCAGTTCATTGACATTTGCGCATGGCTTGGATTGGCATGGGACCGTCGGCGCGCCACTGCCACCTGGAAAATGCTGAAGGCCGAACGGGAGCAGCAAGCCCTTGCTAGACAACAAAGGGATGCAGAGGCTCGCAAAAACTGCGAAGCTCTCTCTGCGGTGCATAGTCTTCGCGAAGTCGTCCGCGTCAAGAGTGCGCACACGAGCACGCTCCAGTCTTTGGTATGTACGCATTACCTGGGCCGTGCAGGAACACCACACTGACCCTGGGCTGCGGGCCGCATCGCAAAAGTCTCATTTTCACAGCTCGGAATACGTAAGGAAATAATTTAAACTTCGGAGGCTCCTTAGCCTGGTCTGGTGCGCTGCTTTCCTCAGTGGAGTCTGTTCTTGGACGTCTGCCTGCTGATTAGCGCTTATGTGCTCACGTGGTGGTGTTACTCGGCCTGTACTTCACGTCTGAGTACTGCTCCCCAGGCACTTGTGGAGGCTTCCCCTTACGTTCTGCTTCCATTGCTCCTTATCATTAGCAGCGCCGTCTTGGGTACACTATTTTTCTCCATGCTGATGCATGCATTTGTGGCAGCCAACGGCACATTCAGCCGGAGTTCATTACTTTCGGACTTCGTGGGTGGCGTCATATGTGGCCTCCTCATGATCCCGTATCAAAGAAAGCGATTCAGTGTGCCTGGGGAAACCCCGGCGCTGAGGTATGAGCCATTGCCTTTTGATATCCCAATTCCAGGCGGTTTGCACTTCGCTTTTTTAGTCACACAGTACAGCGGTGCAGCTACTTCCCGAACCGGATCCAACACAGATGACCGCAGAGTTTTGAGCTTTCGTTGCTTCCTATGCTTCTCAGGCCCTTCCTGTACACTGCAACATTAGCCGTTCCACGCCTCCCTGGCTGGTCTGCCTGCTTGGCACCACTGTTCTTGACGTTGTTTGTCGGCTTTACTTTGATGATCTCTTTGTGGCGGGGGCACTTGCTACTCGTTAGCACCTTCTACTTGCTGCCTCACCTTGTTATGGACACTTGGACGGCATATTACTTCCTCACCATGGAGAAGAAGGGGCCTCGTGAGTCCGCGCCCAGATCTGTTGCTTCAGCTGTATTGCTTACGGCATTCCTGTCTGTGGATCTGTAGACCCCAAGGTAATTCGTTATGTGCGACTGTTGTTTCTGGTGTTCTCGAAGATGACGTCATGAACAACAACTGCAAGTACGATTTCCTCTGCGTGGCTCCATGCGCATTACGCTGGGTCAAGGCATGTCTGGATAAGAGGCACCGGGAAGACGAATCCCAGCTGATGCGTGCAATCCACGTCCTGCATCATCGTCCACTAGATCTCCATTTGCTCCAGGCAGTTACTTTCGAGTGGGTTATCTTACTTGTGCCTAGCTGATTTGCTGTTTCGTCTTACGTGAAACATGTGCGGCACTGGGTCTTGAATCATTTAGATCAGCTGTTCCCACGTCTTGGGAAGAATAACCCTTGAGTAGACAAGAGAACTCGTCTGTTTATTCTGCTCTTCCTGCGAAATTCAGGGTGCCTCTCCACAGGGTGCCAGAGGCGGTGTGCTACTTAAAGGAGCGTGTTGAGTCAATGCCGGCTGAAGTGTTCAGCGCTTCGCTCGCTGATGGATTCGCAGTGGTGCACCCGGAATCTCGGCCAGAATACTACAATTCTCTCGGACAGCCGGCCCAAGCGCGTCGTGGTGAAGAACCTGGGACGTCAACGAATGGGGAGGTGGACAAGAAGGCAAAAGATTTGGATGAAGCGCCGTTTGCTGCATCCTCTTCGACTCTTACGAAGCGCACCCGAGCTGTTGGTTCTTAGGTGCCTTTTTGTTCGATATGAGTGGGCTGCTTGGACGAGCCCAAGTTAGTTAGCTGCCAAACCCCATTTGTGAGAGTTTTGGTAGGGACCACATTGTTATTGATAGCGGCTGATGCAGATTGAGGATGCGTAACCCCCGCCTTTTCTGCATTGTGCGGGGTTTCGTTACGGTTTACTCGTGAAGGGTGCAAATCACTTCGCCGACACAGTACGTCCCACTTGGGGCCTTCTACCAGTTTGTTGTGTGGAATGTCAGCCCCACCGCGTGGTGGTGCTTGAGGGGCAGCCGTGCATGCTTGAAGTTCCGGCGAGGTAAACAACTGCTTCCAAACTACACTATGTTACGTTCGTTGGAGCGGACAGTTCTGTAGTGTAGGGAGGGCAGGGAGCCTCTTGCTGCTGGACTGGCTATGTAGGAAGATTCCTGCCGTTTGGAGCAGATAGTTCTAGTGTCTGGCTTGCTCGGGCTGATGGGTGAGTCTAACCTTACATTATTTGCTCTTCATACGAGTACACGACTGCAGCATCGCTGTGGTCATGCGGCTTTGCTGAGTGGTTGCCCCCCTACGGGAGGGAGCACCTGACATTGTCTAGCTGGAGTAGTTAGCAGTTACGGGTACTCATGCGCTCCATCAAATACGCTGGACAGCATCTTTTTTTCCGACATAAGCAACGCAACTCATCTGCCTGCTGATTTGATTCAATTGAGTAGGCCGCCAGATCCAAAAATAGCTTTGTATTCACGTTGCCAGTTCAGAGGCTGTGCACTCACTGTGAGATCTTAGTAATTCCGCATGCAAGCTATCGGTGTTGCTCTGTCATGAAGCGCTTGCCTTGTTGGCAAGCTCAGGACGCTCGTCCATTTAAGGGCACTATAATAAGGCGGTAAATGTCCGCCGTTTATCATTGACGTGGCCATGATCCTTCCTGTGGAGAACTCTTAAGCTCCTCCCTTACGGGTACAGATTGTAAGAGAATTAAAAAATACTAGTGCCGACGCCTTGTAAGCACGAGACAGAAAGCTAGATGTCCCTACACGCCGTCTTAGATATCCAAGATCGTTGAGGCTCGCCGAGGCGTTCTACAGCATATCACATGCAAAAGGTTTCCATCCTGTGCAAGGAATCAGCGAACTACGTTCTTGTGAGTCATAGACCCGCCAAGCGTGTAGGTTGCTACGGTCCACACGGCACACAGCGCACGTAGACGCCTCTGATGTGCTTTCAGTAGGTACAAATGAAACCCATGCTTGGAAATAACTAACATATTCAAATGTGTAGCGAACTCTTTCTTCGGCCAGCATAATATTGCGTATGCATGCCTTTGTTCGACAGCCGGACGGCGGTAGCGCCTCCAGCCCCCGCCAGGACTTCAGCTTCACGGTGCCTCCCCTAGTTAGTTTTAGTTGAAGTTCTGTTCGTGGCGATCCACCTCTCGCCTACAAGACACGTAGACTTTTGTTTATTCCCAGGTGTGTCATCGCTTGCCACAGTTCAAAGAGGCTTTCCCGTGCAACGTGGCAGCCACACGGCGGAAGCTCAGGAAATTCAGCAGCAAGCCCCCGAAATCCCGAAGACGTTAGAGTGCAACAACATTCAGAGGCTTGTATTTCAAATCTGCTGATCATGCTTGTTGCTTCACTTCCTGGGGCTCCACTGTGGTTGCTTTGCGGCAGTGCTTCTCCAGCTGCCGACACGCTGCAGGTTACTTGCCCGGAGCGGATCGAATATCTGTTCAGACTCGTCAGGAACTATGCTGTTGCACGTAACGTCATTTCATGCTGCAGTGTATCAAGAAGGCTTGAACTAAGGAACATTTTCGAGAAGTGGGGGACTTCTTTGGTCTAACAACTGAGGGCCGACAAGCCGAGCCAGGGAGATCCCAGCCTTCTATACAAGAGAAGATTCACTGTCCAAGCCGAGCCAGGGAGATCCCAGCCTTCTATCCAAGAGAAGATTCACTGTGCCCGCCTCTGCACCAACTCACTCTACTACGGGCGCCTTCCATCAGCATTTTGGCTGGTAAGTGTGCAGTTCTGGAGCCCGTTGCCACAGTTGAGCTGATGGAAGTTCCCACTCAGCCAGCATTCAGGCCATACCAAGGACTTTTTCAGTTCTGTTCCAGCAGAAGGAGCAGACTTCGCAGCAGGATCAGCAGCATCAGAACTGGTACGTGCGCTTCGATAACTGCAACAGCAGCGAAGCAGCAGCATGAACGATAGCAGCAGGAGCAGCAGGAGCCGCAGTAGCAGTAGTTCAGATGAAACTTCAGATGCCACCAGCTCGAGGGACAACGTGATTTCACTGCGCAGCAGCATAAGCGGCTTCAGTGAGGATGAGAGCGGCAGCTGCAGCAGACCTTCACCAGTTTCCAACATCCCAGATGTTCTCGTAGCCTCAATTCTGCGTTTTCTGCCGCCACATGAGAGAATTAAGGTGGGATCTGTCGTGTGCCGAAGATGGCTACATTTGATCAGGAGTTGCCTGTGTCAATCGGACGCAACCCTTCGTATATCTCCTCCTGTCTTCCGCCATCTCCCGCCGGAAGCACTACGGGCCTGCATTAGAGCGATCGCAATTTACAGCCGACACGCGAAGTTGGTAATAGGATATGTAGTTCCTGTGGCTGCGGAGAACGGGGAATATCCCGAATTTTTGTTCCTTCGATCATTGTTCCGGGAGCTGTCCGAGGTCCGATCTATCAGCATATCTCTCGGCTGTCCACTGACTGCAAGAATGCTAGGGGACTCATTTGCCGGCGTACTGCAGCGCAGCGCAGACACACTAACATCTCTGGAGATATGGGAAGCGGAGCTGGCCGAGGCTACCCTGACAGCTCTCGCAGCAATGCCGTCTCCGTGGAAAACTTGCAGCCAGCAGGCGAAGGAATGGGGAAATGCATATCTTGCCACGGCTCAGGCATTAGAGACCTCTGTCGGCGCTCATGTACTGCGCAGAGACCCCTGTCCCCGGGTTCAACGGCCTCAGCGTCTTTCCCAACCATGCGGTATGCTTCTGGCAACGGCGCAGGTCTTGCGAGAACGCTTCGCCCGCAATCCTTCACATACCAGTTTTTCCACATCGGATTCCGAGGTAGACACCAGCAGGCTACTGCGGCATTCCCGGCAGTGGCAACAAGAGCAGCAGCGAGATTCACAGATGAAGCCCTCTGACCACGGCCAATGTCGCTCTAGCGACAGTCTGCAAGGCAGAGGATGCACCGCATTGCCGTGCAGCTTGGATACTGGGGGGGACCGCTGTAAAGGGACTCAAATAGGAGAGCTTCGCCGTAGAATTGCAGACATAAAGAACTGTTGCTGCTGCATAACTGCAGGAGAGACTGCGTTGAGAATTTGGCGAAAATTTGAGAGCGTACGTCTGGTATTACCACGACTTAGGACTCTAGCCGCTGGGAGTTGGCGGCTGCTGCAGGCTGTGCATTGCCCCAACCTGGAGGAGCTAAACCTCACGACCAACGCGGCAACGCCCCACAGGGATTCTCCGGGCCGACTGCAACAACGGCGACAGCGACAGCAGCAGCAGCATCGGCAGCAGCAACCACTCCACGGGCAACCTGACTATTCCCATCTCACTATGGCTCTACAGGAGTGGGCACATCGCATCTCGGTATCTGGTGGGCCACGAACTGTAGCTGAATCTTCTGGATACTCCGAGTCTGCGCTGCAGGAGTTGCTGCATTTTCTACTTCGTAGCGGCTACAGCCTCCGCCAGATCCATGGCAGCTATGCTGTAGGTCCTCTAAACGAGTCGTTGCTGCAGTCGGTATCCACAGCAGGCAATGTCCTTGTTGGAGCCAGCGACCCTGCGAATGGGTCTCCAGATATATCGGCGACGGTGCGATCTCTAGCTACGACAGCAGTTCCTCCTGGAAGGGCTAAAGGCGGGCAGAGACTTGCTGGCGGGGGCTTCTTTTCTGGGGCACTGGCGGCTGCTGATGCCATCCTAAATCCACAAGCATCAACGCTTCTGCAGACATGGGATTTGCAGCCTACGATTGCACCCGTTGCCGTCGCTGTCGGACGTACAGTAACCGGAAGTGCTAGTGGGCTTGCTAGGGGGAGCACGCCCATTCATGCTGCAGAGGAAAACTACGCAGCGCTGGCATCTGAAGCTGCAGGCAGTGTGCTTGCTGCAGCAGCGGGTCTATGCGCAGCAGTAGGAGGTGGATGCCGTCATATTCGCCACTCTCCGAACGAGTGCTGTGCTCTTCCTTGTGCTTGGGGCTCTGACGAAAAACTGCTGTTGGTACTTTTGCCAAATCTGCGAGTTGCACGATCTGCGGACTTTCTGCTACTGAGTTGCTTGTTGTTGCCAAGACTGGAGGAGCTGCGGCTTCCCGAAACATGGGACTCAGTTCTCAATAAGCCGATACCAGGTTTCTCGCTTCTTTGGGCATACCTGTGCACCTACGGAAGAAGCCTCCGTGCATTGGATGTGGAGGGGACAGCCCCTCCACTTGCGACATTTCTAGGGGCTGGAACGACCGTACAACCACTGCCATTTCACATACTGCCTATTGAGGCCGTAGCAACCAAGGCTCTTCAGCGCTTATTACTTGTTCACCGTGCTCATCCACTTATGGACCCTGCAAATCTCTTGAAGGCCAACTCACCCGCTTCCACTTGTCCCGAAGGTACGCAGACAACTGCAGCAGCTACTGCAAAGGTTAGCGCGGGGATTTCGGAGCTTGCTGCACGCACAGTCGCTGATATCTGGCACCGTCGTACCACTTCTAATAAGCAAAAGCGATGGCGAATAGCCTGCCAAGACCTGCACTATGAAGTGGGGCAGGGTGGAAGCTGTGCCGAGGAGCTTGATATAGACGTCCATCCAGCCATTAGCGAGAAATTGCCTTGCGTACCCTGTCGAAGGGTCAGCAGCTGGGGCATGACTCGAGGAGCTCCCGACGCTGTGGGACGAGATGCTAGTAGCGCAAAGCCCCTGTTCGGTCTGAGGTTCGGCCAACTGAAACATTTGCAATGCCACTCGAGCTTCCTCCCTTACTTGGCGGAGCCGCTGCCGCAGTGTGGGTCGTTGCAGGGTCTCAACACAGAAGGCGAGTTGGACTCCGTCACGTGGTTTGTTGCTTTGCTAACGGGCATTGAAAGGCTTTGCGTCAGAGTCCCCTGCCTGAACCCGTCCCGGAGGCGGTCTAGGGCTCCTCCTCCAGTCGCTCTTGATATGGACGAGGAAAGAACCCCCAGTTCTACGAGCCACCCTGAAGTCACTCTGCATATTAGGAAATACGCCGGCACTGCATTCTTCTTCACACCCAGCCTTTCGTGTCCCAATCTTCAAGAGCTTCAGGTAACCTGGCTGTCTCCGTACTACAGGCTCCTATATCCACCTACGTTGTTGAGAGGCTGCCTACGCTTTGAGGGACGCAAAGGCAACTTCGCATGTAAACATCGGCTGCGTTGTTTGCGCTTAATCTATGTGCAGGTGTATCGCGGAGATGATGACTTTGACTCATTCCTGGCGGGCGGAGGGGCCTCTAATTTGCAGGTTTTACGCTACGATGGCCGTCTGTTTGGCGGGAGAGGAGCCGCAACGCCCCGGACACTCCTGGCGTCCCATGAGCTACGAGTCATTCGAAACACGGAAAGCTCTGTTCAGGATGGGCAGAGGCTGCTAGAAGTTCTACGCCTTCCTCCAAGTTTCTCACCGCTCGAAGGTTCCCCGTTTGCCTCCCTCAGGGAGCTGCACGTAGGCACCCTCGATGCAAGGGTCCTTCTCCGTCTTGCCTTGGCAGCTGCGTCTGCTGTGAATCCGTTCCTTTCTTGTGCTTGGCGGCGCGTTCTTGATAATAGGAAGGCAGAACGACTGCAGCAGTTGCACCGAAAACGGCAGCTTTGGATGCAACGTACACAAACACAGCGAGATAACGAGGCTATCCGGTTGCTGGTACGCCAACGCCGGCTCTACGAAGAGTATACCGCGCGGCGTAGACGACTGAGGCGGTTATCTTCTGCCATTGCCGCCCGCCGAGAGCGATTTGGAGGGGCCAGTGAAGGCCCTCGAAGGCCAGCGCGGCGCGAGCATGAAGAGACTCACAGGCGCCTCACTCGTGAAGTGCACAGGATGCGACAGCAACTACAGCAGCTACAGAGACGACTAGAATCACTCGCTGCGGCTAACATCCGCAATTCCGCTAGTACCTCTGTATCGCAAGATTATCATCAGGTGCAGCGCTACCATCGGTTCAGGGAAGGTCTTGAAAGATTGAGGAGGCTGCAAAGCCACCAGCAACGACTAGTGGCGCTGAGGCGACTCCTACAAATCAGTGTGACGCACGCAGTGCCACATCCTTTGGACCCACTGCCGGGAGTGAGCGAATACCGGCGGGCCAACGAGTTTGAAGCGGCAAGGCGCAAGCTTAGAGCCCAGCGAGGGAGAGAGCTTGACTTTGGATGCAGCCGCAGGTGGTGCTTCTGGGGATGCCATAGAGCTGTGGCTGCACTGTCGCAGCTGCTGCCGCAGCTGCGTACTTGCGTGGTGCAACGCCTTCGGGGAAATGCGGCTTCGCTGCGTCTGCTGCTTCGAGGATTGCCCCGGCTCGAGGTGTTCGCAGTGGCGGAGGAACAGACATCCCGCCGAAGGCAGCGATTGCTACAGCTAGCCAGGAACTTAGGCTTCACTGTACGCCGCGGGCCGCTAGTCATTCCGGCTCTCCACAACGACCTTGTCACTGTTTCTATGATTTCAAGGCAATTTTGGATTTCCAGTCGTGGTCCATCTGGAAGGAAGGCGTCGGCGGCTTCTGTGGCTGCAGCTGATCTGCTGGTGCAAGAGCTGTTAAAACGTCTAGCCAGCGGCTCTCAAGGGCAAAGTGCGTCTGCTCCCCAGGCTAATACAGGGGATACCTCAGCCTTCAGCCCCTGTTACGCCATTCCTCCAGCTCTGTCCCGTGGTATGAGAGTGTCTGAGGCTGCTGGTTGTTTGGCCGCCGCCGAGGGATTCACTTCGACTGGGAGCGCAACGTTGGCGCCTACCAGGGAACCTTTGGCGTCAAGTAGCGGTGGTATACCTGACTTTGGGAGACGCAAGCGACCTGCCACATTTGAAGTTCCGACGCAAGCAGAAGCAGTTTTATCCGCTTCTAGAATTGCAGGAAATACTCGTGCAAACCAAGCCGGCGCCCGAAGCCTTTCTCTGCGCTCTTTGAGATGCTCCATATACACCAAGAAACGCCCGGAAGACTCCGATTCCGGGGCAATTAGCACTTCTAATTCCAAGCGACGCCGTCGAAGACGCGGGGGGGGTGAAGACGAGGCTGCTGATTTGCGTCGAGACATGCAGATGGCGCGGGGTCTAGCGGAAGAGCTTGAGGAGCAGCTGACGAGCTGAACGTGCCTCGGGCATACCCGCCGACCGATGGCTTGCTGTTGTTATTGGTGTCCCGCAGCATCCCCTACATGTTCCAGGTCAATACGAAGTGTAGAAATTGAGTAAGCGGTTGACAGAACTTCACTGCGCCGGCCGGTGGCAGGATGTGGGAAGGCGTGTGCTGCTTGTCCAGCGGGGCTGAGTCAGCGTCAGAGCTCTTCAGGCCTTATTTTGCTTCACGGTACCGTTGACAAGTGCACTCACTACCTATTTCGTAACCGACCATAACGTTCTTTGTATTTGATCGATGTCAGCCACTGAACGCAGGCATGGTTCCTGCCATGCACCAACGACCCCCGTGTTCCCACTGGAGGGATGTAAACTGTTCTACCTGCTACTGCTGTTAAATTTGTCGGAAGTCAGGGGCGTCCACACTGCACAAACTAAGCGAAAGCAGATGCCAAGCGAGTAGCAGTAGCGCCTGGCATCAGCTGTGATGCCTTCGGGAACCCAGGCTGGCACAGCTTCTACATAAATCCGTTCTAGTGAACGAGCAGGCATCGGGATATAAGCTTGTCAATAATTTCGCGCCTGAAGACAAAGTCTACCAACTAAAGGGGCTAAGGGAAACCAAGGCGACGCTAGAGTAATAGGAAGCCCATCTACAAGCTGAGGCATACCGCCCTGTTGCAAAATGGAAACGCCAAGTTCACACTTATGCTGAGTCAGACGTTTATATACAGGCATGTCGTTCCGTCCACACCACTCATAACGACTGGGTGGCCGACGCAGAGAAAGTTTCAGTACTCTTCCACAAGTACCAGCCACGGAGGCAATTTGTCCATTGACCGCCATCAGCATTGCACCATCAGCGTCGGTGGATGACAAGCACTCCTTTCAGCTCTGCACCAACATCACATGTGTTGCCTGTTCCTGTCTACGATTCTACCATCACATTTTGGAGCGAGGACAACCTCGTCGTCCATGTCCCTCTTGCATCCAAACTCGGAAAGCATCTGGTCTTCCTGAAGGCTCGTAAAGCACGAGAGCTGACGGGACACGACGCGCGAATGCGGTTTTTTCAGGCCGTTCGCCATTGCTGTCAATGCTAGGGCATTCCGCACAAGCGTCGGCAGAGGAGGCAAACGCTCGCCCTCTACAACCACTGGGCAGCTCGTCATCATCGTAAACCCGTCACGACCTGTAAGCACAGGAATGCAGAGGCATCGGACTCTCCACACACGAAGAAAAGAAGAAATAACACCACAACTCCATGCACTGGCTGCTCCATCCAGCCAACCGGGTGCAAGCTCAAAGCAGGGCTTCTTGCCAAAATGAAGCAATCATCCTCTGGATTCAGTTGTGAATATGACCTCCGTTTGCACGTTAGTCGGCTAGTGGTAGGCTGCAAGCTCTCTTACCCTGTAATACGTACGACTTCGTTGCAACGGTATACTCGGCATTTTCGTCCAAGGGTTCAAAACGCCCGAGACTGGGTTGCCCATCAGAAGACTGGAGGTTGCTTCCCCTTGGTGCCACTTGAACGGTCTCCCTGATCACGCGACTGCCAGCTGGTTTGCTACTGTCGAACTCAAACCTAATCCCTGCGACCTGCAGAAACCGACCTTCCGTTTTTGGCACCTGCGATACTGCATTTTCTAGGGCCGCCAAAAGAACTGAGCCTTTGCAGCTAACTACAGCGATTTCGTCCGCCATTGGCAGCATAGCTGCCAGGTCCCCGTAACGAAAATCTCCCTCCTTGAACACGCAATCAGACCGTATCGTCCCTGTGTGAGAAAACACCACCACCATACGCATGCGCCTCTTCATCCCCCACCACACGGTGGCTATTCACTTGTACACCTGCTGGCTGTTTCGTTTTTGCTTAGCTGCATCTGTGAAGAAGTCGATCACACAGGTCTCATGCAGCCTATCGCAGTTCATCTTATGTACCCTCAGTTCCGTTTGTTCCCTACCCGAATTGATAAAGGCAATGTCACTCTTGCACTCTTTGCGCATGAGTTCGCACAGCCAATTTCCGCAATTGCTTTCTTGTGTTCGAATAATTCGAAAGCGCGTCTCCAGCTCTGCACCCAGTTTCGCCAGTTTCCTCCGCATTTGCTGCTTAATGTGGCGTTCATACTTCTTCACGAGGAGCTCTACGTGCTTATTCTTTGCAAAGTTATTGGGGGTAACCCGGACACGCTCCCACTGGACTAGGGACTTCCCCAGAATCTTCGGAATTACAACGCTGCCACCTGGGCAGTCTGATGGCTTCAATTGCTCTGAGAACAAAAATACGGACAAATAGCAACTTTGCATGCGCCTGTAAAGCTCCAACGCAATCTATCTTTGAGGCACCTGGATGGAGCTGCAACCGTCCGTGATGATACATTGTGCAGCTGTTTACTCTGTGATTGAGCTGGAAGGGCAGGTTTGAGCAGCAATGGACGTTCTTCTGTACCTCCCTGCCCCTGTCTGTTGTCTGGCACAATTTTCCCCTTCGCATGCAGCAACTGAGAAGCCAATTCGCTTGGGCTCAGTTCTTCAGCTTGATTATTTGAAGCCTCCTCGGCCACAGCCACAGCCGCAGCTATGGCGGAGGCTGCAGCCTCCGCCGGTGAGTCAGTTCCATCTAGTACTCGAGGTGCCGATGCAACTGCTGCAGCTGCTATGGCAGCCGCACCCATATGCTTCCCTGAATCGTCAATCAATGCAGTTGCAAGAAGATTTGGCTGAGGGGAGGAATCTCCAGGGAAGATGGCGATTGCTGTAAAGTCATAGAAATCCGTTCCAGACTTCACAACAGGGGTGCCACCTGAACCACAAGCAGCGTGCTACTAGGGCAGCTGTTTCACCCTACGCATGAGCCCCTGCCTCGAGTTGCCGGGGAGACTGGAGCATGTCTAGAGGAGGCTAAAAATGTTCATCCTCCAGGCTCCTGAAGGCTATGGCCAACTAGAGAATGAGGCAGCGGTGCAGCAGCTTGACATTGCCAGTCTGTACACTGTGTTCTCCCTCGGCCAGGCGGCGGCATACCTATTACCTGCAGTCCATAATAATCGTGGTCGTGGCCGCCCAGGATGATGTCAATATCTGGAGCCATCTCGGCAAGGCGCTGATCATTTGGTGCCCGCATGTGCGTCAGAGCAATGATTAGCTCACACTCCTTTGCTCTCAAGAACCGACACATCCGGTTCGCCGCCACTACGTAGTCTACGTACACCACGTCGTCAGCGTTGATGCACGCCAAAGTATCCAGCCACTCTGAGTTCACAACAAGCGGAAAATGCGTGGAGGTCCTGCCACGACCGGACGGAAAACGCATGTAACACAGGCACCATGCAACCGCAGCTAGGCCGGTGTTACGGTGTACGTCAGTTAGTATCTTGGTAAATGGAGGGCACGCTGCACTGCTTCTTTACCTCGTTCAACCAAGCCAATCACACCAATACGGACTCCTTGCCACTCAAAAAGGCGGTACTTCCAGGCATTGGCGATAGGCTCCCCTGGAAGTACTGTGTAGTCGCCAGCATCTGGATCCGCGGGCACTCTGCCAAACGCATGAGACTCATCATCGCTAGTCCCATGCTTTGCCAGATTCCCCTCTTCAGCGCAGCCTCCACTCGGTGGGACCGCATCTCCTCTGCCGTGCATATATCTATCCAGTTTTCGCTGATCGTCCGACGAGGACCTCTCAAACACGTTTGTAAGGAGCCAAGGAAAATTGCATGACCCAATGGTGTATTCGAGTTCATCAATGCCAAAGTCGAAGTCATGGTTGCCGAGACAAGCGGTGTGGACCTTGAGAAGGTTCAAAAAAGGGACCATTTGGCGCCCTTTCATGTACGTGCTCATTAACGAGGGATTCAGAGCATCTCCTGCATTACAAAGAACAGGAAAGCATCAGAGCGAACGGGACCATTGACATAAATGCAAGACCCATTTGCTCTCTCCACTACGTTCCTCTTTCATGCCTTTTTACTTTTGTCGCCCTTAAAGTACTGGACGGAGGCAAAACTATTCCTTCACAGTGAACGCTTTTAAAAACTAGAACAACAGGTGACGTAAAATCAAGAGATTAACAGGCGCCGTCTTTCGAATATCCATTTGCGAGCACGGCACAAATTCTCTTCACTGCAACGGCAACTCCTCACCTGAGAAGAAAACTAAAGGGTGTAAATGACTAAAGCGTTGCATTGCAGTGACAAAGCGAGCAACGCCGCCAGACCCATCTTCTCTGGTGTCAATGTTGTAAACATCATTAAAATGTAAAATGACGATTGGATCAGTCCTGTTAAGCGGCAAGTCAAAGTCGTACCTGAACATACAAGGCAGAAAGCAGCATGCAAAGGAAACTGGCCACACCGTGGGTTGATTCCTTCGCGCAACTGAGCAGACAAGCTGCCTAACGCAATAAACGCTACTCACATCCCTCGTGCGTATTTCCAAGAGCATGTAGCATTGCGGATCCGGCGCGTACTCAAGCACAGAATGAATATGCACGCCATGTCAATATATTACTGGCCCACCAAGTCTCGCCTGTAAAGCCTCTTGAGGCTTGTCTCGTGATCATCGACGCCAATCGCCGAATCTCCTCATCCGGCTCCGGAGGTGATTCGTCGCCTCTCCTCCCAATGCGGCGTCCCGTCACTGCCAAGACGGGTGTGTCTCCCCCGAATACTTGCAGCCTTGGGGAGCGGCTAAGAGGAGACAGGTGGCCCCTGCCTTCTCCATGTTCTTTTACCATCTCCTCCTTCACAGAAGACTCCACTCTGTGGCTGCAAGTGGTGACACAGCTGCACTGTGTAAAGTCCCAACGTAATACAGTTTCGGGTGAGCACAGAATCCAGTTTAGAGTCGCGTGGTAGTAACTCAGCCTCCATATACACGGGAACACCCTTTGGTCTTCGGCAAGAACTCGGCCCGTTGTGTGTTTTAGCTTAGGCTGAAAGCCAAACTTCCACGTGCTGTGTTTACGCCTTGGCAGCAAGTCAAATTCGGAAGAAGCGGTTTACCTCTGCTACTGAACCACTTGCTGACGCGGGGCCACGACTATCCAGACAGAAAGCGGAGAGACTCCCGTGATTACTTAAATATCGAGCAGTAGGGGCCCAGGCGAGTTGCCCGCTATCCTACACAGGCTGGGTGTAATGACCAACCACGGTTTCTGAAGTTGTACCCACCGCGTCTTCCTTCCCTTATACCAGGCTGGCTCGCAGACGTCCTGCTGCCCGTAAGTTGATGCACTCAGTCACAAGAAGCCGTTTTAGCTGTCTCAGAAAGCAGAAGTAGGCCTGTTATCTCATATATTAGTGGCTAGCCGTGCGTGTGCGTGGACCACCTCACGGGGTAATGGCACTAGGAACGGTAGCACTAGCTGGGTGTAGCCCTCACCAACATATCTCCCTATATGCCTTAAAATATAAGGCAATACATCCTTAAAGTTTGCACCAGTGTTGACGGATATTCCTGCTCGAGCCCTGCTGTCAAGCGATTCCACGCCGAGTGACGAGCGCCCGCTCGCGGTCCTCAACTCGTACGCAGACGAGTGACTCACTAACGCATGGTTCTTCGTGTTACGTACTGTATTTTGGTTGTGATTCATAAGTATACGGGGTTGGGTACCAAGCAAGCACGTTCAATGAACACCGTCTTGGTGTGCACCACCGACTGGTAGAATAGGGGCTGACATGGGGACAAGACGTCGAGACGAGTGTGTTGCAGAACTTTCTCTCAGCTTGCTGAATAAAAATGCACACGCGTACGAGCTTCCCTGCAACTCAGTTTAGACAAGCGGAGCCGTGCCACAGGCCGCAGGCTTTTGTAATGGCAGGGGCAGGCAGCCAACCGCGACAGGCCGGGATACTGCGTCCTACGTGGAAGTGATGGTGTTAAAAGTTGAGCTTGCAGTATCAACTGGGGTCGAATTTTAAGTGGCTAGAGAACAAATCCACTGAATCGGAAGACCTTTTGGATAGCATGTTCTGTCTGAAGACTGACCACTTACTGGACCTTGGGAGGCAATCTGCACTCAAGGGGGAGTACAACAAATGCCTAAAGCGTTAGTAGAAACAGCAGACGGGCGTTAAGTTGAGCTCGCATGAGAAGATGTTTTGCAGCATCAGCGGGAATGAAGTGCTTTGCAAATCAGGTCAGGCCGCCTCCTCTGCCCCGGTCCCAGGCACTTGGGCCGCTGTAACCAGAATGTCTGGCAATTGGAAGGGAGGTCAGCTGCTTTTCGAGAACTATAACCAGATGCTTTGTGGCTCTGTTGCAGCTCGCCGCAGTCCTCAGGTAAGATCGTAGATTTTCGTTACAACAGAGACCGCAGGGTATTGCAGGGATATCAGAAGGTGTGTGCATCTGTATCCGTGGGCGTTTGCCAAGGTAAAAAAAATAAGCTTTTGTACACCATTGTGTACAATGTTGCACCAAATGAGGGCTGGGGCACGCTTCCTTGTGCTGGCAACAGCTGTACCAGCAAGCTGGACAACGCCGTAAAGGCGCCATCCCAGCCTGCGCCTGTGCTATTAGGACACCTGCAGAGAGTAACGGGGGTGATCTTCATTTTGGAAATGACCATCGTACGTGTGCGTTAGAGGTCACATAGTTCGAAAGAGTCAAGTGAATAACATCCAGTGACTCTATCAGCGCCATTTTGTAGTGTAGCGCACAACATCCTAGGCCATCAACAAAGAACTGCGCACCCGCTGTGCAGCTGTCGCTGTGCAGCTGTGTTGACCCCAACATGGACCCCTTTACAGTACGGCCATACCTTTTGTGCATAATATCTGTACGAAGCGGGGCTGGAACGCATAATCATTAGGCTGCACGCTTCGTCTAAAAGCACAAGAGACGCGATGTACTGGTGCTTAATCCGTTGTTCGTTGCTGACCTTGGCAGAATCTGCAGCAGCGTAAGTACCTAACTCACGCGGCTGAAGAAGAAGAACATTGTCTAGGAAGGAAATAGGAATTGTCAGAGATAAGAGCAGTTTCCCAATAGTGGGCCTGACCGGTATGCCGTCAGGAGAGTGCGTCAGTAACCATATTGGTGATACCGTCGACATACTTGACGGTGAAGGCCTGCGAATGGAGGCTGCCCAAAAGAAGAACTGCTTCATTTTCGTATTGGTGAAAGTTATCCATCAAGTTCGCCAGGGGTTGATAACCTTCTCAAACTTTTTCTCCGCACCAGGCTTTGTACAGCTCTTTCTCCCGTTCCGGATACTTCTGCTCTTTTTCCGAGAAACAGTGTGAGGGGTGGACTTTCTCTAGCTGCCAGCTCTCCGAGAGCATCGCCGCAAGAGCTGTGTCACTTTCGTCAGATGCTAGCAAGAAGGGTTTGTCGAAGTCGGGGGCCCCAAATAGAGATTGTGACCGGTATCTGATGCATCTGATGCAGAGGCTTCTTCAGTCTCTGTCCGGAAAGGTTCTGTCCTTCTTCAGTGGAGTCGTTACATGGGATGATGTGTAAATGAATAAAGGGGTGACGTTTCTGTAGAAGGATGCGAAACTAACGAAGAGCTGAATGTCCATGCCAGAAGGGGAGGTGACTATGACCAAATAGCCTTTGTGCTCTGCTCATCTGACTCGACTTCTACTGCAGCTTCACAAAGCCCTAAGATACCAGTTGTTTGCGCGGGAGGCGAACATTTTTGTGATTTTGCCAACCGTTGTTTCTCACATTGCAGTTTCAGCACACGCCTTAGGTGCTGCAAGTGCTCCTGCACTTACCGGCTGAACATAGGCATTTCCCTCATCCATCGAAGCATCTATCCTTCATTGGCTAGGTCCCAAAAGTCTTGACTGAACTGTTGTTGCAGTTAGGCAGGCGCATTAACCCGCTAGAGAGCATATGCATGTACCCTAGTTTGCGGGCGTTGGGTATGTTCTGGAAAACGCAAAACGCGTCAGCGAAGTCAAATGCTGAATGGGCTCCTGCGCCTGGCGAGCAGTCATGTAGATTGTTGACACCGGGCAGTGGAAGCTTTTGCTTTTATTTTTGAGGGGCTCCAATTAGACTCGCACTAGTTCCTTCCCTTCTTTTTTGCGATAACTGGATTCTGTCCAGTCACGCTGGTTGACGACTAAACATTGTCGTTTCTTAGCAATTCTAAGAGCTGCATCCCGACTTCCTCTCCAAGGTGCGGAGGCTGTCTATATCTTGTACAAAAGAATGGGCTGCGCTGCGAGCGAGTCTGATACGGCTCAGTGGGCACCCACTGGGTGGCGAACTGGCTGCAAACTCCTTTTATTTGGCATATGTGAGAGCTTTCCCTGCATCTAAGCCCGGTTCTGCTGTTCTACAGATGAAAGCTCGCTGAAATCCCCCCAAAATGAAGCCTTCGTAGGGCCATCACGACGGAGTGCATGCATCTCTCTGTCGTCTCCGGAGAAGTGCCTCTGGAGGGCATTAGTATCTCCTTGCCCATTTCGTCTTGGGAAGCTGATTCCACTCCTCTTACTGTAAATGATGCAGTTGCTGTTGCGACAGATGAGATGCGGAACCTCCACTGCTGCGTGTAACGAAGAACTCAATCGTGTCTTGTGGAAGCCGCGTGCGGTCATCCCACCGAGTCGCCCACGGCTTCCCTAGGATTGTCAATGGCCTGCGCGCTCATATCCCCTGCACAGCCTATTCGCCTTTGCCAACGTCCTGCTCGCAGTCGTTCTAGACAATTATCGCTTCATCTCTCTGAAGGTCAACACATACGGTTAGCACATCAACTGCAAGGTCCTTTTCTTTCGCGTTGACAAAGTAGTCGACGCTGCAGTACTACTTAGTGAAAGCCCTCTCAAATAGTTATTCATTCTATGGGGCTACCGCGTCGCTACTGTAGACGGGCCTTTCTCACTCCTTCTGCGCAAAGCTAAAAGCATCAAGATAGTTCGACTGCTAGCCATTTCGCCTGGTTAGCAGAGCAGTTTTCCCTGGGAGCACTTAGACGGTAAAGGGGTTCATACTAACTTCTCGGTCGTCGCCTAAGGCTGTCGTTAGTTGCAATGCTGGTGTGTTGTAAGTCAGTTCCACGCAAGGGCAACTGGCCTTCTGTCCTGCCTTCAAGCCTGCTGTGCGCAGCAGTATAGGATCTTAGGAGGCTAGCAAGAATTAGGGCCTAGAGTCTCATGACGTATATCCTGCAATGTAAAGCCCCATAGAATTCCTCCACTGACGCTGGCGAGGAGAGCAGGCGCCCTGTCCTGCGTTGCGGCGCTTCCCGCACTGATTTGCTGCCAGAAGGCAATCCCATATGCTCCATCCCTAATACCCCTCTCTTGTATGCTCCCTGCATTCAAAGATGGAAGATTCACTTATCTGTGGAAGACGCTGATAGACATGCTCCCTTTTGCCAAATATCCCACTTCCTTGCTTGCCAAGCTGCCCAAGAAAAATATGGGTGGTTCGAGTGTCTTTTGAGTGTCTTTTGGAACCTTTGCTCCGGTAAGGTTAGTTCAATAGGACAGTTCTGTACCCTCTTCCATGGCTCGTTGGATTGCTGTCAAGCAAAGCAGAACGTCGTGCAGTGAACAGCGCTCCCGTGCCACTACTTCTCTACCCTGTACACACCCACTTGGGCGCACACTCGATATATACGCATTGACCTCAACGTACATCCCCAAAGATGGCCTTAAAATTTCAAAGAATAGTCTTTTCTCCTTTGTCTATGCCCCACTTATCCTATAATATATCCAATGAATCGATATCACTGCCCGCTGACCACCTGTGTGAGTCAGCGCGGAGGCG